AAACAATTACAGTCATTTATCGATAGCTTAAAATTATGCATGTTACTAGAAGGCTTCCTTTCTCATTAAGCACAAAGGATATAGATGTTCATGGGGTTTTTGCTCTTACAAAGTCTAAATATTTTATTCCAGTAGCCTAGCGCCCTGTATCCCCTTTATCAGAGGTGTTGGTAGGACTCCATAAATTTGTACACAAACCCTCAGACCACATGGACTTTTTAGAGCAGAGGGACATTTGAGAAGCTGTCCAAATATCTTTATTTAAACTGTTAGGTGAATCTAGAGTTTTTGTTTGTTAGTTTTTATTTTATTACAGTTGTCATTATGCTTATTGAATTCATGGACCATGCAACATTGCAGCTTCCTTCTTTGGCATTCCAGACGAAGGGGAAGGTGACCCCAATATGAGTTTACTTTTATGGGAAAAAAAATGTGTGAATCAGCCCCAATATCTTAATATTTTACAACCTGTTCTTACACCTAAGAGAATTTTAAAAGTCTTGTTTCTTCTGTACATCATCTTGGGCATTCAGTCTCATATTGTAATGTAGAGTATTAGTAGATATTTAATATAAGCAGTGACAGGATTGTTGGTTGAAGTGTGAATGATTAAAAGCCACCGACCCTTCCAGTTTCTTCCAACTTAACTTGGGGACCTACGCTGTGCCATCATTATTTGCACATGGCAGTTAGCTTAAATTAGCCTAAAATAACTTAATTGCAAGATAAGGGTGAAATCCTAACTTGCCAAGGTGCCCGAGGGCTCGCTGATGCTAACCCAGCTAAAACTGTGCTGATTCCAAATTCCTACCAGCCTAGGGATGTTGTTAGTTACTTATGATTACCTTGGCCACCTTTGCTGAGTCTGTACTGAAGGGAGTTGGGACTGGGCACTAGGGATGGGATTTTCTGGAGCAGAAATGCCATAATTCTCCATTCTGTGAGTTCTACCTACCTTACAGGTACCTGGTGTAAATTAGCAGGCTTTGAAGCTTAACTAGACAAAGTTTTGCCCAGGTGCCCTGTTCCTGTGCCACTACTAGCCAGGAGCCTTTGTTCTGAGCAGGAAGCTTGGGTAGAGTTTATGTGCCTATAAGGTATGTAGAACTCTCATAATAGAGAATTAGAGTATTTGTGTTCCAGGAAAATCCAAAAATTGCATCCGTGTCTGACAGAACTCAGTCCCTACCCTACTGCTCTGCTTCCCTAATTCTTCTTTGGCTCTCTGGCCAGCTGATCTCAGCCAGCGCAATAGTGGTGGTTGCAGCTCCAGTTTAACTGTTGGCTTTCAGATCAGCCAGTTTTGCTGGCAGAAAAAGCTCCTCCCATTCCAAAACATCTACAGCAAACATATCTTACATTTTGGATCTTACTGCCTGAGCTATTTTGTTATTTTCATTTGCAAGCTGTCCGTGGTCTCACACTGTAAGTAAAATCTGCATAGCTCAGGCTTTTAAAGAATGTTTATTTTATTCAGTTTATTTACATAAACTCTTGCAATGTCATCTGCCAACAAATCTTGATATAATTTTATGTCTGAGTGTGTCAGTATGCATATTAATGAAAACGTGCACTAAGAAGACTCCTGATTCAGCCCTGTTTACAGTTATATCCATACTGTTTTTGTGGTGTTTATAAACATATACAATGCAACTTACATTTTAAAATCATTTTATCCTTGTTGGTACTGTTTCTGTACCAGCAGCTCATGAGACCCATACCTGCTTCTCCCTTGTTTTGTCCGCTCTATATCTTTCCTAGTTCTCCTCAACCTAACAGCCTTCTGGTTGTTGTGGGTTTTTTGGGCTCTTTGGCCATGTTCTGAAGGTTGTTCTTCCTGACGTTTCGCCAGTCTCTGTGGCTGGCATCTTCAGAGGACTGGAGTAGGAACTCTGTCCATGCTCTGTTGGTATTTGTTGGATAGTATTTATAGCTGTGGGAACAGCTTTTTTCTTTTTTCAGAAGATAGGGTGATCAGCATGTTTTTGTTGTGATGAGGGAAGGGGGGAGAGGGAGAGATTATCTGTCACTGTGATTGATGGGTGCCCTTAGCTGGTCTTTTTTGTGCAATGATCTCTGGCCCTTGTGGCTGGGTAAGAGTTCGTTGACCTTCTGCAAGTTGTATTTTTCAGAATGGGGCGCCCGGCCATATTTAGTTTCAGGCCTTCTTCTTTCTTGTTGAAAGAAGAAGTTTTGTTTATGTTTATGGATTTCAATGGCTTCCCTGTGCAGGCTAACATACAGATTGCTGGTGTTGTCCAGTACTTCAGTATTTTGAAATAGAATTTCATGTCCAGCTTGTTTAAGGGCACGTTCAACTACTGCTGATTTTTCCAGTTGTTTTAATCTGCAGTGTCTCTCATGTTCTTTTATTCTAGTGTGAACGCTGCATTTTATGGTCCCGATATATAGCTGTTCACAACTGCAAGGTATCCGGTATACCGCTGTGTTTTGTGTTCCCGATATATAGCTATTCACAACTGCAAGATATCCGGTATACTCCTCGAGTGGTGAGGGGGTCCCTTTTGTCCTTTGCTGACTGTAACATTTGTTGTATTTTTGTGGTGGGTCTGAATAAAGTTTGTAGGTTGTGTTTTTTCAAAAGTTTCCCATGCGGTCCATGACCCCTTTGATGTACCACAGAAATACCTTATTAGCCGTTCCCACAGCTATAGAGACTGGCGAAACGTCAGGAAGAACAACCTTCAGAACACGACCAAAGAGCTCGCAAAACCCACAACCACCATTAGATGCCGGCCGTGAAAGCCTTTGCAAATACATTTAACAGCCCTCTCTTTTGTTAATTTACCCACTGGTTTTATCCCTTGCTCCATACACTTCCAGGATCCACCGGGAGTGTTACAAGACATACTGTTCTAGACCTCTGGCGTTTCTGCCCACAACCCGCTTCACTTGAACCCAGGCCCAAGAGTTCCCTTCAAGGGAAAAATGCTGTGAGGGAAAGTTAAGTTACACAAATATGTTGTGAGAAATGGAGGAGACTGTCAAAATCTCACTGTAATGTATACAAAAAGTCACCACCTGAACAGTAAAATGCTATGTGGTGGAACCAGTTAAGAAAAAACAAAAACTTGTTTGTGGTCTGTTCTTTGGTGTGTGCATATGCAAATGAATATTTTAACTGAAGATTAGAAACATGTTCCATGTGAGTGAATTACTGCCAGTTGTAAAAATGCTGGGTGACAAAATGTATGCTTGATTTTTTCAGTACCGTGTTACACACTCATATTGTGAAGGCATTGTTCAAAAGTATTTAATAAGATACAACAGTTAAATGAAATTCTTTATATTTTGTTGAGATTTGATTAAGTTAGAGATGTTTAATTTCTCTCTGATATAACTTGTTTTTCATTCTTAATTTATACACTTTGAATACCAGGAAAACGGAATCATGGCTAATAACGTTTTTTTGGCAGAAGGGATGAGCTGACCAAGCAATCTCTATAATATGGCTGAAAGCCTATCTTGAGTTGGTCAAATCCTATTTGCAGCTTCTGGGGAATATGATAATCAGAACAGAAATCATGTTCTGGAGGGCTGAATTTTAAGTTCCCTGAATAATTACACTCTCGCGAAATGAAAGGAGACTGGAATCTTGAAAGCATTTTGTCATACAAGTTTCTTTATCTTGAGATAAAAGCTGGGGCTTCTTTAACAGTAACAACCCACCATTACGAGATTAGGGAGACAAGCTGTGTGCTGCTGAAATGTTCCTGCTCTGTTTCTTTTGGTGTTTCTAGTCATGTAGAAAAATCCTTGTAAGGGACTCTTAATTCAGAACAGAGTGCTTAAAATATTAACAAGTAGAATAGTCTTCCTATGCTGCTACTCTTCATTTCCTTTCCTTCTTTTCCTTTCCTTCTTATTTAGGTTTTTAAAATAGCATTGCCTTTCTATGCTGTAGTTAGATCCAGTGTGCCGTAACTGTCAGGGACATCAGCATTTAAACCACTTTCCAGCTGCAAGCCTTCCTAGTCATTACTAAGTATGCTGGTCAGGAAACCTCATGAATTGTGACCTAAAATGCACCGTCCACATGTGAGGAATCTAATACCTGCTACCCAGTGCAAAAAGAGAAATAAGAATATAAAAATCTAACAGACACCAGAGCTGATTATATGAAAACTAGCATGCATCTCTATCCATATAATAATATGGGCTACACTGCCACCATGGAGCCCTATGCATGGCATGCAAACTTGTGCTGTTTGTCTAGTGACAAAGGAGAACTGAAGTGAGAGGCCAGGATCTCTCTTGGCTGCTCCAACTACTGGGGCTTTATGGAGGGTTCAGACAAATATATGCACATATAGCTCCTATTGCAAAGCTGTAGGGCAAAGAGAAATGACTAACCCTTTTGCATTCTGGAAAAAAATCTTTTTCTTTGCTCTCTCATTCAGCTTAGTTTACTAGCGTTACTGAACTATTATTATGCTGTTGGGACTGAGTGTGTGTACACTTGGAAGAGTTATTGCTATATGGGCTTTGAGTGTAGATCATACAATTAGGGCACTATGTAGCTCTGGCCAGTCATAGTGCATTTCCCCCCATTTGTGTTTTTTCTTTTAAAAAAGGAGAGACCTGGAAATGCTGAGATAATGTTATGGATGTGGGAAGAGGGTTTTTTGGAGTTTCTCACAAAGAATACAGAGTGGGTTGACCATGATCTTTATGCCTTTTATTTGAATAGAGAGCAGGTTGGAGGCGTTCTTCACACACCCAGTTAAAAGTATGCATAAGAGCTTAACTAAAGGACATATGGAGTCAGTGGGACTGCCTTGTATGATGTGGAATGTCACTTTTCAACCCCAGCTAGGAAAAACACTGTAACAATTCTGGTTGTAACATTCAGATGTTCTGTCAAGCAGCATGGTGGGGAATCAAACTCTTAACCACTGGCTGCTTCAGTTTAGGCCCTATTTGAAATATTTTATTCTCTAATGTATCCTCTGTCTCCCTCTGTTTGTTCTTTTCGACAGCGGAGGATGCATGTGGAGGGACAATGAGGGGATCCAGTGGTATTATCTCGAGCCCTAATTTTCCCAACGAGTACCACAATAATGCAGACTGCACGTGGACCATTGTGGCTGAACCTGGCGACACCATTTCGCTCATATTTACGGATTTTCAAATGGAAGAAAAATACGATTACTTGGAAATAGAAGGCTCGGAACCGCCAGCAATATGGTGAGTGAATCACTGTTGCATGTAAGCATTTATGAAACTATCTCTGAAGAAGTACTATCACAATACCATCAGAATGTATTTAAACTTCTTCCGACACCTCCTACAGTTTTCATCTCAGATGTATTTTCCAGTTTTGTCTTGTATATAATGACTGTCAGTTTAGGTTAAATCTAATGGCAGGTTAAATTTGTGCTATTGAGTCTTGACTTGGATGAATCTTACCCATTTTTTCCAGTTTTTTATCAGTATTATTACAGAACCTTTGTATGAATGCTATCATTTGCATTTACCTTTTGTAAAAACCAGTGACTAATGCTATGAGCAAGGGAAAAGTATGTCTACATTGGAAAGTCACTGAGATACGGTACAGTCAAAGGGTTGCAACCTGTAGTCCCCTAACAGTCCTGTGGTTGTCGTGATTTGTTTCAGAATGCTTTTGTACTGGCTTTTACAGTGTGATAGTAGTGAATTGACTCGTAATTCAGTCAGATCACTATTATCACACTATAAAGTCAGTATAAAAGCATTCTGAGACAAATCCTTTGGGCTGAAACAGCCACAAAACTGGGAAAGCAGATAACATAAATTCAAATTTCTGTAGGGAAAGATTCAGTATTGCTTTGGAGTCATTCCCCTATCTTAAATTCCTGCTATCCAGTTGTTGTTGGGTGCAGAAGGAGAAAAGATGGGTACAGTATGAGTACTCTTAATAGTAGTTTTGGAGAACTAACAAATGGAACAGGCATTAACACTAGACAGATATCCTTTTATATCACCTTGCAGAGGCATCTCAAGCAAAAACTATGGAACAACATGAGATGGGGGAAAGGATTGAGGAGAAGGTGGCATAATTTATAGATGGGGAACTGAAGCTATGGAACAGAAATCCTTGTTTCACAATTGTAGACAATCACAGTTGTAGACAAATACATGCATGCCACTGGCTTTGCTGACACTTTTCTTCAACACCAGCAACACCTAAAAAGAGAAAAATATTTCTTAATAGAAAATATTAAAAAATGGGAAGAAGGCTTCCACTCCACTGTCAGAAAAATGGAATTGTAATGCCTCCACAAAACAGAACTGAAATGATTGCCCTCAATTTGCTACATGCCAGAGTAGTGGCAAATTGAGGTCAGCCATTTCAGCCCACCTCAGGAGCATACAGTTCATTGGAAGGTGGCTCCAGTCCAAATTGGGGTCCTCATGCCTGCTTTTAACCAAGAAAAAAGAGCTGGTTAGTCTCCTCACAGACCTGTTACATCACATGTAATTTGTCCTGTGGAGTCTCTAGTTGCTCAGATAGAATTTGGCTTAAAATGTCATCAAATGTGGACTATTCTGGACTTGTGCATTCATCCATGGTATGGGCTGAGCTGTAATTCTGATCAGTTTCACTTACTCCATTATGCAAAATAACTCTCCATATACTACACACACAAGAAATGAAGTACAGGTTTATAAAATGTAATTAATAGGTTACTAATTAGATTGGCTGTCACTTCATTCTCATCCTGATCCAATGAAGCAAACATGCAAGAGCTTTTAAAATGCTAGACCATGCTGATCATCTGTTTGAGGAACAACGGAGAGTAACAGGACCTCCTCCCTGAGGTCTCAAATAGCGATGGTCATGAACCAGGAAAATGGCAGTTTATGTTGGTTCGTGGTTCATTGCTATTCACAAACTTTAACAAATTTTTGGATGAAACAAACTGTGTCGTGGCTCATGCAATGCAGGACTTTTGGGAGCAGTAGAACAGCCTCCACATGGGTTAGTGATGCCAAGCTCTCAGGGAGTCTTCAGCTGACTCCCTTCCCCATCCATCCAAGTTTGGCAAAGAATTGGATTTGGGATATCTGAGTTATAGCTCCTGGAGCAGATCAGACTAGGAAAGTACAGCTGACTCAGAGAAAATTACATGAGTGGTTCATACAAGGACACTTTAGGCAGGGTATTATTCATCATGAAGTGGACTGGGGTGGGAAGAGAAAGCGGGCAGACATGGGAAGAGGACAGAAGTGACCAATGCACTAGCTAGCTAAGTGCCTTCTTCTTGTGCTGGCTTCTGCAAAAGTGAAACCACTAGCTGAGCTGTCCAGGGTGTGATTCCTATAACCTGCTGCTCACAGAGAGTGGACTTAGAGCTCTGTGGTTGGTTGCCTCACCTGACAATCAACTCTATACACAGTTTTCTCTAGGTTCACCCCAGCATTGCCTGTGAAATTGTTTGCTTCATGGTTCATTTCGTGCTCATCTCTAGTCCCAAATGCTGCTTGATGTTTTTGGTTTCAAAAAAAGAAAAATAATGAACAAACTGTGCACAGATACATCTCATTGTAAGATTGGAAGGTAAGGCTAGTTGGAGCTAGTTGGGCCAATAGTTTTTTTCTCCCAAATGCTGCTTGATGTGTTTGGTTTCAAAAAAAGAGAAAGAATGAATGAACTGTGCACAAATACATATCATTGTAAGATTGGAAGGTAAGGCCACAATGGTTGGAGCTAGTTGGGCCAATAGTTTTTTTATCCAGCTTGGGCAATGTGTTGGGAAACTTATTTCTATATATCTAGTGCCCCAAGCTAAATGTTGAGATTTGCATTAACATTACACGTGATGTTGTTGACTTATATATTTACACATGAATCTAATCATCACTATTATACACATCAATGACTACCACTCAGGATGACTATGTACCACCTCCACTATCAGATTTAGTATACGTCTTCCCCCCCATCCCCAGGGAACATGAGGCAGATCATGCCGATGCACTCATATCTTGATCATGGGCTTCCATAGGCTAACACATTGGCCACTGTGTGAAGAGAATGTTAGACCATATAATCCTTTGGTATGTTCTGTTACTGCTGTTTTAAAACTCTCACATTCTGCTGCTGCTCATGGTATGTTGGTTGGCCAAATAAAAATTGTTAGCATGTGGATATGACTGCTGACTACTATCAGCCTGTAAGCATAGTTTTAAATTGTTCATATGTATGGTTTTGCTTGCTTTGTCTCATTAAATGAAGCAGCTGTGCCTGACTGCTCTCCTTTTTCAAGTATTTTAAAGAAGGGAGAACATTCAGCATAAACTGCACATTCAGAAATGTTTTGTTTTGAGTATTTTTCCTAGTCTTTGGGGGCCTGGGGAAAGGGCTTACTTGGATTATTTTTACTGCTTGGGTCTTCTCTGCCCACTGCTGCCAGTTGGACTCAAAATAAGAGAAGAAAAGGCATTAGTTAATGAGGAGAGATGTCTCCTCAGAGCTTTGACTAGGAGATGCTTTGATTGTATTTTTTGTCTTTATTTGCTTGCTTCCTTTTCTTGGTTTGGGGGAGGGGGCTGTCCGCATTATTTAGTTTACTTTTTTCCCATTGTGGGAAGGAACTTTTTAAAATTGCTATTCTTTTATTTACTATTTATTGTGTTAAGCGTGTGGGGGGCTGTTTTGTTGGCTTCTGTGGGGTATGTGTGGGTAGGCCATGGGGGTGGGCTTTCGAATTGTGCCAGTGTGCAACTGGGCTGTGTGAATGTGATAATGTAAACTAATGCCGGTGTAGACCTGATGATGATTTTTCTTTCTCATGTACTGTTGCCTGATTTTGGAATATTTCAATTTCTCTGTTGTTTTTCCTCTCAGCTTGTTTGGAGTTGTTTTAAGGTTCTTTCAGAGCATTGGATTCTCTGGAGTGCCAGGAAACACAAACAGGGAAACCTGAAATGAATGCCCCATAATAGGCTTTCCTTTTCATGCGCAGCAAAAGGACTGGCGCATGAAAAACATGAAAAACTAAAGAGGCATCTCTGAATAAATTTGGGGGGGAAAACAAGTATGAATAATTTCACCATATACATCCCTTATTATGATCCTATTAACTAGTTTGACAGTATATGTGCTAATTTAACATATTTGCTTTGTAATTATATTGGAATTATTTTCGTACTGTGGTACAAATTCATATTTAAGTTCAGCAGTTCAAGCTCTTCTAAAATATTTACTTCCTCCACACCACTTATTTCATTCTGCAGACCTCATGGCAGCAAGACCTAAATGAATCTTTTTCTTAGTATCTATAGTCAGACAATGAATCGGATGCTGCCTCAAGTATTGAATGATATCATCATTTCATATTGAAGATTCAAAAGTAGATGAGCAAGGTCCAGCAATACTACCAGAAGATCTTCATGCTGATTTTTTGTTTTGAATGTCATAATGTTCTTACTGTTCAATTCATAAACATTACTTTCTTTGTCTCATAATTGTCATTCCTGGCAATCATCCCACATACAGATGTCAGTCAACACAGACACTTATAGAAGGGAACGCAAACAGTAAATAAAACATCTATGCTATGCAAAACAACCAGAAATACCTTGAACAGTACATGACCACAACCATTTTCTACACTTGGAACAACCCATTGCTTAAAAGAGTAAATTCTGATGACTTTCACAACTTGCTGTCAAGGTACCCATTGGCCAATTCAGTCATTTATTTATTTATTTATTTGATTTGTATCCCGCCCATCTGGTCTATGCGACCACTCTAGGCGGCTTCCAATATAATGTAAACAACTAATAAAATAACACAAAAGTATTACATAAATCTTCCAATAGCAATTTACAAAACAGAAAAATAGAGTAAAGAGTAAATAAATAAAGAATAAAAAGAAAGAATCAAGTATTTACTGGAGGGAAGGCCTGAATCAACATCCATGTTTTAATTGGCTTTTAAAGATACCCAGTGTGGGGGCTGAATGAATCTCTAGAGGGAGATTGTTTCAGAGGCGAAGAGCCACCGCTGAAAAGGCCCAATTTCATGTCTTTTCCTTCCGGGCCTCTCTCCGCGTCAAGCTCCTCAGCCTCACCTCCTGACTCGTCTGGGTGATCCGGGTAGACCTTGGTGGGGGTAGGCATTCCACCAAATATCAAGGTCCTAAACTGTTTAGGGCCTTATAAGTAAGCATTAAAACTTTGAAATTGATGCGGAACCGAAT